TGGGGCATCCGACAGAGTGCCGTCTACAAAATACTCCCGAATAGGGTCCATCCAGGTAGAGCTTCGGTCAAGGATTCCAATGGGATCATGTTTAATGCTTCTTTTTTCCATGACTTCCCAGAAGACTGACCTAGGTGTATCACAAGTTGCGGATGAGGCCAGTTTGGACAAAGCATTCGCCTGATTGTTCTTTGACCGGGGCACCTGACTTAGATGGAACTCGTCAAATGTCCCTGCCTCATCTTTGACCGCCTGCAGGTATTTGATCATTGCCGGATGGGTGGCCTCATAGTCACCGTTGAATTGGCTAACAATCAATTGAGTGTCTGAGCAGGCGTCAACGTTGCTTGCCTCTGCCGCCTTACACATGCGTATACCGGCTAGCAGGGCTTCGTATTCAACTTCATTGTTTGACGCTTGAAATTGGAAACGTAGTGCATATTCATATGTATCCACTTCCGGAGATTTGCAAATCACGCCTGCACCACAGCCATTTAACGTAGAGCTTCCATCTACGAATAACTTCCAAACCTGATCGGTATTTTCCGGCTGAGCCAGCCTAGTCATTTCGACAATGAAGTCGGCAAATGCCTGACCATTCACTACCTGTCAAGGTTCAAAAGTTCTTTCCAGGCTTAACATTTCAACAGCCCACTTGAGCATTCTACCGGATGACTCTATGGTAGCCATTGGACACTTGAGTGGCTGGTCAGTGTAGACAGTCACTGGATGGGCTAGGAAGTATGCCTTCAGCCGCTTGACTTCCTTGTAGAGGGCCAGCCCAAATTTTTCAATCATTGGGTACCAGAGCTCAGCATTTCTGAGAATGTGGCTGATGAAGTACACCAGGAGCTACTTGCCGTCTCTCTCAGTAAGGAGAACAGCACTGAGGGAGTGATCTGAGATGGCTAGGTACATGTAGAAAACCTCCTTGGGATGGGGGCTCACTAGCCTTGGCAACGAGTGCAAGTGTTGTTTTAACATTTGAAATGCCGCCTCAACCTCTTTTCCCCATTCAAATCTGGACCTCTTCCTGATTGCTAAGAAGAAGTAAAGGCACTTGTCGCCTGACTGGCTGAGGAATCTTCTTAATACTGCCAGGCAACTGGTTAGCTTTTGGGCCTCCTTGACGGTTCGAGGTGATTGCATGTCAATCACTGCCTGTACCTTTTCCGGATTGGCCTTTATGCCTCTTTGATCAATTAAGAATCCGAGAAACATCCCAGACTCAACACCAAAGACACACTTTTTGGGGTTAAGCATGACCTTGTGCCACCTGAGTATGGTGAAAGTTTCTTGGAGGTCAGCTAGGTGATCCGTCTGAAGCTTGGATTTGACTATCATGTCATCAATATACGCCTCTAAATTCTTTCCAATTTGATTAGCGAAGACCTTGTTGATCATTCGTTGGAAAGTAGCAGGCGCATTCTTCAACCCAAACGGCATCAACGTGTAGCAGTACAACCCCTGATCAGTGACGAAGGTCGTTTTCTCCTGATCCTTCTACTATAGGGGAATCTGATGGAAGCCTGAGTAGGCGTCCATGAAGCAGGGCATGGCCGGCTGTAGAGTCAACCAGACTGTCAATCTTAAGAAGCAGGTAGCTATCCTTCTGACATGCCCTGTTCAGATCTGTGTAATCTACAAACATCCGCCAGGTACCATTCGGCTTTTTGACGAGGACAACATTTGCTACCCAATCCGGGTAGTAACACTGCCGAATGAACCCAGCATCTAGGAGTTTTTTTACCTCGGCGGCAGCCGCCTGAGACCTCTCCTCGCCATGATCCCTCTTCGTTTTCCTAACCGGCTTCATGATGGGATCCACAGCTGGCTTGTGGACGGCTAGATCTGGGCTGACGCCTGACATCTCCTCCACTTCAAAGGCAAAGAGGCCTTTGAACTCTCTCAGAAGTTGGAGCAAGTCTGCCCCCAACTTTTCAAGAGCAACCGTCCCAAGCTTGAATGTTCTGTCAGGACGGCTTTCGTCTAGGACGACATCAATGCTCTTACCAACCAGATGAGGTCCGCCTTTCTCTTTGTACCGCCTGCCTTAGGGGCTGGCCCGACTTCTTTATCCACGAGGTTAGTAGGTTCCTCGTTGGGGTCGGCTGCATGAGCAGTCGGCTTGACGTCTGAGAGATAGCACTCTCTTGCCGCCTTTTGGTCCCCGTTTAGGGAGCCTACTGACCCATCATCCCTATCGAATTTAATTAGCATGAGGGAAGGGATGATGACAACCTTGGACTAATTGAGTGTCGGACGACCCAATATAAGGTTGTAGGCAGTTTATTCCTCAACTACCAAAAATTTTACAACCATGTAGTCCTTCCCCTTTGCCTCCAAGCCAGATGGGTAGGTCAATCCTACCCATCGGATGCACTACCCCGCCTCCAAAGCCGACTAGAGGGTGGGGAGCATTGTGCGTACTGTTGGGTTTGTACTTGAGCTTTGTCAAGCAGCGATAGCTTATCAGGTCAAACAAGCTCCCGGTATCGATTAAGATCCGACCAACTCGTTGATTGGCGACTTTACATTCAACGACGATTGGATCATCGTGGGTCCACCTGACAGTACCCCTGTCCTTTTTAGAAATGAAATCCTCAGGGAAGGTGTCTTTTGACGCCTGGCCCTCATCCTTGGCACCCCGGTTGGAGGGACCCCCGCTAGTGAAGCCGCCTACAATGGTGTAGATTTACTCCTCATCGGTGTCAGAACTTACAACCGGCTTCTTTGACGGTTGTCCAATGTTTTTGGGATTACCCTTGGACTTCGTCAAATAGGACTTTAAAGCCCCCTAATCAGCCAAACGATCCAATAGCCGCCTGAGGCTGTAGCAACCATTTGTGTTATGGCCAATTTCCTTATGGAATGGACAACACTTGCTCTTGTCCCGATTTTTGACAGCGCTCTTCAAAGGAGCCGGTTTCTCAATGGTCAACCGGTTTTTTATCTCCATGAGGATGGAGGAGCAGTCCTTGTTGAACTCATACTTGGGGACGTACGGCTCCAATTTCTTTTGCTTCTTCTGGGACGACTGACCTGGGCGGTCAGCTGCCCAGATTTCTTTTGTTTTCTTTTCTTCTCTTTTGGCCGGTTGTGGAGGCCGGCTCTCCTTTTTGTCAGACCGCCTGGGTTCTGACGAGTGTTTGATGGCACAAAGCTCCTTCGCCTGTATGTAGGCTTCGGCTTCCATTAGTGCCTCCTGGAGGGTAGCAACCCTCTTGCGGACCAGGTCAAACTTGAATGTTAACCCATCCTTCAGACCCTTGAAAAAGTATGTGTACGCAACTTTGTCAGACAATCCTTGTATCTGAATTCTCATCAGATTGAACCGCCTTACATAGGACCGAAGTCCCTCCTTGTCCCCCTACTGGATAGCCCCTAGATCGAGACTTGTCTTCTTGGCAGGGATGTTTATGGAGAAGTTGGACGCAAACAGGTATGCAAGCGTCTTCAAGTTATTGATGCACCCAGCCGCCAGGTTGCTGAACCACCGTTGGGCTATGTCCTTCAGCGTTGCTGGGAAGCACCGACACCAAGCGGCATCATCCAATCCCTGTAGGTACATGAGGTTGGTGTATGCCATCAGATGGTCTTCCGGGTTGGTGGTACCGTCGTAGGTACCTACCAACACGTTCTTAACCTTGGATGGCTGTGCCGCCTCGTTTATTTCCAGGGAGAAAGCCGAAGGCTGTTCCTCTAGGTGTAGCAGCCGGAGCTGCCAGTCCATGGGCTGGACTATGTTTGCCCCCAGTCCTCCTAAGGGGAACAGCTGCATATAGGGTGATCCGGGTCCATATGGTTGTTGGGGCACATATGGAGCCTAATGGATCACATGAGGAGCAGTACGTACAGACGTGCCATGTGACTGACTCCCTGGGTTGGTTTCCGAATGCTTCATCAAAGTATTGCGGAAACTGTCTAGGTAGGTCGACGTAGAAGCCGACTAAGACATGCTCTGACTTCTCTTCTCCTGGATTAACAACCAGGCGTCAGAGAAAGTCTTCTTTGACCCATCCGGCTGTATATGTCGGATGGCCTTTTCGCTGCCCTGATTCAAGCAAGCGAATTTTTGAAAGGTCAATCAGGGGCCCATACGCCCCCTTGGGCTTCGGGTGAGGAGTGGGCACCCGGTCTTTAATTGGCTTCTTCCCGGAAGCCTTCATGGCCGACTAACCCTTGTTGGAGCCAGCTGACTTCTTGGTAATGTCTTTAATCTCCCCTTTGAAACTAGTCATGAGATTCATGAGTTCGTCTCTGGTGACGGGGGCAGAGCCCTCCGCCGCCTGGGGTAGCCCAGGATGCTTGACGCTTGGGTAGCCTGGACCAGCTTTGTTCTGGCCGCGTTCCTTTGTTTCTTTGGAACGGATGCGCCTAGTACGGAGTGACCCGTCTAGGGCCACATATGTGTCGACTTCGCAGTCGTCACTGCTGTCATGGTCTATGTGGACCTCAGGGTCAGCCGTGGGCCGGCTGCCCTCTGCAGTTGGTACATTGTCAGATGTCATCTCAGGGGTACTCTCCCCACGGACGGCGCCAAATGTTTCAGGGTTTCTGAGGTGTCCAGCGAGAGAGTTACAGCACCGAGAATGCACGCCTGACTTCTGAACCTGCAAAACCACGAAACTCCGGTTGGGTGGAGTTCCGCCTCCGAACGTCAAGTTAGTATGATTTCGGATGACATTACATGCGGAAAGTAAACGGGTATTTCTCTCGGGTTCCGGGAGATTCCGCAATTAATATTGCTCAAGTTTTTGTGTAGGTATTTATGAATAGGTAATAAATGAGGATTGTTCCTCTATTTATAGCATAGTAGGATCTGCTCCCCCATTAGGGGTATAATGCCACGTGGCATCCATTGGTTGGATGCCCATGGTGCTATAGGGAGATGACACGTGACAAGCCCTCATTGAGCCACGTGTCTAGGGTAATTTTTACCCTAAGCAATTTGAATGTTGAGAAGAGTTCCGATGTGAGGATAGGACTTGAGGTTGAGGATGAGTCATCAAGAGAGAAGTGCCGGAAAGAATGAGAGGGGTGAGAAAGAGAAAGAGAAGGAACCTGGAAAGGAGAGCACCAAAGATCAAACACCTTTACCCCTTAATCTCCAACGTAGGAATGAGAGGTTGCCTTTTCCCCAAAGATTTGCTAGGTCTAGGCTTGATGTCCTATTCGGAAAATTTTTAAATGTAGTAAAGAGCTTGCATGTTTCTGTACCCTTTGTGGATGCTATGAAAGAGATGCCTCACTACTCTAAATTCTTAAAAGACCTTTTGAAGGGAAGGAGAGAAGTTGAAACCGTTAACCTAACCGCAAATTGTAGTGTTATTCTCTCTAGTAAGCTACCAACCAAATTGCAATATCCCGGTAGTTTTTCCATCCCGGGTTCTATCAATGAGGTTTATTTGGGGAAGGCTTTGTGTGATCTAGGTGCTAGCGTGAGTTTAATGCCCTTCTTGGTCTACCAAAAGCTTAATGTGGGAAGTCTTTCACCTACAAACATCACCCTCCAACTTGCGGATAGGTCCACAAAATTGCCTATAGAGAAGGTAAAGGACATGCCCCTTAGAGTTGGTAAGTTCACTTTTGCGGTGGAATTTTATGTTCTTGAGATGGATGAAGATGAAAGAATTCCTATAATATTAGGTAGGCCATTTCTTGCTACTTCTAAAGCAATCATTGATGTCAAAGAAGGTAAGATGACCTTGAAGGTTGACAATGATTCTATCGAATTCGCTTTGAATAAGGTAATGAGACAACTTTCCTCTAGTAATGAGTGTTTTAGAATAGATACAATCGAAAATTTGATGAATGAGTTTAAATACCCTCATATGCATGCTTCTAATGATCTACTTGAGAATGTTTTGTTGAATGAGAATGAAGTAGGTGATCAAAAGGAGATGCAATTATATGAGGAAATGCTTGATGAGAAAGAGGAGACAACCACCGACAAAGAGATGCTCCAAACATATGAAGTCTTCGAAGTAGAAGAGGAAGAGATCTCCAATGGTAAGGGAGCTCCGATGGTAGAATTGAAACCTCTACCTTCGGGCTTGAGGTATATCTTTTTGGATGCTAATGAGGCTTCCCCGGTCATTGTCAATGCTAACCTCACGGAAGAGCAAACCTCCTCATTGCTTAATGTTTTGAAAAAGCGTAGGAAGGCTTTGGGTTAAACTCATGATGATCACAAGGGTATAAGCCCCTCCCTATGCATGCATAAAATCGATTTAGAGGAGGGTGCTAAACCGTGTAGACAACGACAAAGGAAACGTAATCCTTCCATGCAAGAGGTTGTGAGGAAGGAAGTTTCCAAGCTACTTGAAGCGGGGATCATCTACCCAATCGCTCATAGTGTTTCAAGGTTTTCAAAGGTGTCCTACGGGAGAGTTACAGCACCGGGAACGCACGCCTGACTTCTGTACCTACAAAACCACGAAACTCCGGTTGGGTGGAGTTCCGCCTCCGAAGTTCAAGTTAGTATGGCTCCTGATGAGATTATGTACGGAAAGTAAACTGGTTGCTCTCTCGGATTCCGGGAGATTCCGCAATTAATATTGCTCGGGTTTTGTGTGTGTATTTATGAATGCCAATAATTGAGGTAGATTCCTCTATTTATAGCAGATAAGGATATGCTCCCCCATTGGGGGTACAATGCAACGTGGCATCCATTGGTTGGATGCCCTTGGTGCTATAGGGAGGTGACACGTGTCAGGCTCTTATTAGGCCACGTGTCTGGGGTAATTTTTACCCTAAACATTTGCCCCTCACGGGTGCTGACGTGGCTATGCCACGTGGCACCTGTGACACGTGCTAAGTGGGCAGAAGGGCGACGGTTCGCCTCCTTCCCTCTTCTTTTTCAAATTTTAAACTAAGGGGGGAAACAGAGGTGACTGTTCACCTTCTGGATTTCCTATAAGTAGGAATCTCCCTCCTTTCATTTCTCACTTTGCCATTTTTGAGAGAAATTTCTTGAGAGAGAAAGAGAGAGAACTCCTGACCCCGCCTACTTGCTTGCGCAAACATCCTTCAATTTCCAAACGTCCAGATACCGCTTGAGTTACGAAGCCCGCCTACTTGCTGCAACCGGCTTTAGCCGTCTAGAGCTTCTTTAGGCAATTTTTATAAATTGCGTCTATTGAGAATCTCAGCCGGTGTAAACCGTCTGAGTTACCTTCAGGCGCTCCCATTGAAGGGTTACATTCAATAGACCCTCAGCCGGTTTACACCATCTGGGGCATCAATCAAACAATCTCATTGGTGAGTTGCATTTGATAGGTCCTAAGCCGGTGTAAACCGTCTGAGGTATCTTCAAGCAATCTCATTGGTGAGTTGCGTTCGATAGGTCCTCAACCGGTGTAAACCGTCTAAGGTATCTTCAAGCAATCTCATTGGTGAGTTGCATTCAATAGATCCTCAGCCAATGTAAACCGTCTGAGGTATCTTCAAGCAATCTCATTGGTGAGTTGCATTCAATAGGTCCTCAGCCGGTGTAAACCGTCTGAGGTATCTTCAAGCAATCACATTGGTGAGTTGCATTCGATAGACCCTGAGCTGGTGTAAACCGTCTGAGGTATCTACAAGCAATATCATTGGGGTTGCATTCAATAGACCCTCAGCCGGTGTAAACCGTCTGAGGTATCTTTGATCAAACTGTCTTTTGATCTGCTTCGCTTTTCCTTCAGCCAATCTCACACCGTCTGGGGGGTGAGCAAGCAATTCCCTCCTAAACTGTTTTGCTGGAACCCCCATCCGGTCTTTTACCGCTTGAGTTGCCTTCAAACAGCCTTTTCATTTTAACGGATACGCAACCGGCTTTCAGGCCGCCTGCGTTGGTTCCGTTTAATTATTTTTGCGCATTGTCCACTAGTGAGCCTCAGCCAGTTTATGTCGTCTGTGGGGTCTTTGAATTATCTTTGATAAAATCTTCAGACTATTTGCTTCTGCAAATCTACCACAACCGGCCTTTCCCGCTAGTGGTATCCTTGGGCAACATTAGTGATTAATTTTTCCCTTCTTTTGCTAATTTGCAGTTTTGCTCAAAGCGATACCATCTGGGGTATCTTTGGTCAACAACCTCTCGACTCCTTTCTCCAAACTTTTATTCAATTTCAAGGTAACGTCTTGGTTCCTTGTCTTTTGAAGTTTATTTTTTAATCTTTTGTCTGTATATATCTTAGAATAATGACCTCACCCATCACACACACGGCACACCACAATTTAGAGATCAGCCGGTCTCCTGGTACGGCTGAGTCTAGGACTAGGGGTGCCGCCCCTAGGTACAGGGAGTCTCCTTGTTCATCTCCGAAACCGACCGTCTCTTTCTCTGTGCAGGACGCAATGGCTCGTACAAAAAAGACTGCCTTCGATCAAGAGTACAGAGAGGCAGACTCTGGTGAGCTGCCACCTGACCCTTATCAAGCAGAGGTGACAAGGTATTCAACGCCTGGCACCCCAAGCACTCCCAGTGATAGGATATTGGATATTGATCTGGGAGGCGGCGAAGATGTCGCCTCACCTTCTAGGGTCGAGTTGGAAACCTAGGAAAGGGATGCCAGCGACAAGGAAAGGGATGCCAGCGACAAGGAAAGGGATGCCAGCGACAATGAGGCCACCTCTTCATCCGGTACAGAACAAAGTGGCAGTAGTAGCAGCCTTTTGACGCCGGATGCTGATAGCGAGGCGGAGAAAAGGCGACCCCTTCCTCGTCGCCGTTTCTGCTAAGGATAGGGCTATCATGGAGAATAACTTAGAGGACTTCATCAAGATTTGTCCTCTTGGAAAGCATTGGAGAATAATTGTGCCGCCTGAGATGGGCACTATAGTTTGGGAAGACGAGCATCCCAATGCAGACGGGTACTTTGGGTGCTATGAAGCGGCGTTTCTAGCTGGTCTTCGTTTCCCCCTTCATAACACAATTAAGGCCCATCCTTCGAGGGTATGGCCTGGGCAACTGGCAGTTAACCCCTAATTCTTTGGTTAACATTTTGGGGTATATAGCCGCCTGCGACATGTAGGAAATCAACCTCGGCTGGGAGGCCTTTGCTCACATGCATTACTTGAGCAGAAGCCCAGGCGGCTGGAGAGCTTGGTACACATTGACCACCTATCCCCAGTACCTGATGACCTTAGACAAACCGTCTAAGTGGTCAGACTGGAAGAACAGGTTTTACTTGGTCTCCGCCCCCACCCAGGAGAAAAACCGGGAGTATAGGACATACAACCGGAAGCCAGACCTTCTGGGCCACAAGTGTAAGAAGCCTCGTATCCCGGATGAAGACTACGAGCGAATAATCGAGTCCAAGTTCTTTGAACAGACTACAACGACCCTCTCCAATGGGGAGTTAATAAGCGTACCCAGAAATTAGGTGCCCAAGCACGAATTTCTTCGAGACGAGGCGTTTTTGTCCGTCTGTAAGCTTAGCACTCAGTTTGATAAACGTAGGTCACAGTTAGAGATTGCCCCTTTTGCTATGTAGTGATTCATGTTTTATTTTCGTTTTTGTAACCGGATGGATTCTTTTGTGCAGTGCGTGCCCTAGCTATGTTACTTGCTGACAAGACACCCGCCAAGTCAGGCGCTGAGATCCGCAAGGCTAATGCAGAGAAGAAGCTTGCTGCCCAGGCGCCAAAAAATAAGGTATCTTTCTTTTTCCTTTTCTTTTTACTTCGCTTTCCGTTTTATTTCTAAGCCGCCTGATCTTTGTGCTCGTTTTTTCAGGATGGGAGCAAGGTGCCCCACTCCATTTCAAAATTAATAAGGCCTCGGCCTGGAGTGGAGCCTCCAATCCACAACAAGGCGAGGAAGACTTCCTCCTTGACGGTACCAAGCCGTTTGACGGTTGGGGGTAAATCTGTCAAAAACCTCGGCTTGGGGTTTGATCTAACGACAAGGCAGCCGGATGTTCCTGAGAAGGAGACGGCGCCGCCTAGGGCATCCGGCGCTTCTGTACCGGCTGAGGGCAGTCGCGACCCTCTGCCTACATCCCAAGGTACTATTGACCCCTTCAACCCTTCTTTGCTTGGCAAGCATATACGGGTCAAGTCGCACTCCCAGCTCCAGCCAGAAGACTCTTCTGGCAGCCGGCAGTCGATAGGAGGGAAGTATGTTGCGTTCTCACTATCTTTTTCTGGTGCAAATCACTCCCCTCGCTGGCCGAATGTACAGAGGTACGCCCGGGCCATGCTGAAGGCCGTACCCAAAGAAGAGAAGGAGGCGATCCCATGGTTCCACACCTTCAATGTCGACTAGGTTCTGGCCGGACTGTTTGAGGTACATAATCTTCCAATTTGTTTAAGTTGTTATGCCGCCTGACCCCTTCTGACACCGCTTGGGCTTTTGTAGTCAATGTTGCGCGTGGAGAGGCTACGCCCGCAAGTGTGAGGAGGTAAGACGGGCTAAACGGGATGCATTTGACGCCCATAACATTTCCCAGTATTCCATGATTATGCATGAATTGAAAACTAAAAGCATAATCATGCAACAGGCGGATTCCATCAAGACGCTCCAGAAGGCGCTCAATGAAGCCGACACCAAGCTCCACAATCTCCAAGCGAAGAAGGAGAATGCCGAGGCGGAGCTGAAGATGGTGACCGACTCTTCCAAACTCCTGGAGTTGACCAGGAAGGAGAATACAACTCTCCTTGCCGACAACATTCGCCTGAAGAAGGAGGCGGCCAAGGCCAGTGACAACTTTAAATCTACGCTGGAGCCTGAACAGAGTCGGCTCATTGAAGAGAATGAGCAAGACTGCGTCACTCAGATGCAAAAGGCTTGGTCCCTAGTTCATCCGGACAAGGAGTATACCGTCTGGGAGCTTGCCTACAAATACGCTGATCTTGCCATTGAGGCCGAGGAATCACAACAGCTGGCTCCAGAGCCTTAGAAGGAGTGGGTCCAGAAGAAAATCGAGGCTATGCAAACGGAGATCGACTTAGAAGGGGGAGAGAATCAAGAAAAGATTGTCCCTCCTTCCCCAGGACCCGCCTCGCAGGGCCGGGATTAGCCTCCGCCTCAGCCATAAGCTCTTGTCTTCTAATTTTCCGGCCTGCGTTCTGTGTGCTTTTATTGTATCTTTTACCGGACAGGGGTCCGACTAACAATTGAAAAAATTTGATGTTAATATAAATATATGCCGACTGAGTTGGTCTTCTTTGCAACACTTGTTTTATTCTT